GCCAATAAAAATGTATTAAAGAAACATACTAGCAGTCGCTGAAGGCTGCGATACGGCAGCGGAAGGCAGGAAGGATGAGGAGAAAGGGAAAGCGAGAAGTCGCAAAACAAACTGGGGGAAGGGAGGGAGGAGGGGGGGGGGGGCTGTAATGTATAGAAGAGAGACGCCATTTGGTGGAAATAATGAAACAGAGGAAAACGTATGAGTGCTCGCACTGCTGCCATTCCCAGAGCTTAATTTATTCACAGCTCAGACTGCCACATAATGCAAATGAGTTCAGCTTTTTTTCCTGACGCTGACAACTGAAGATAACTTTGGCACCGTGTCCTGCTACGCCCTAACGCTTAGAGGATGGACTGATCTCTCTCATTTCATTGCTCTCTGTCATAACACCGATGAAGTTCTGGACTCGGCGGCTCGGCGCTAAAAAATAATGACACGTCACGTCCGCCGGGTGGGTGCGTATTTATGGTGGAGGCAATGTGAAGATGGGGCATCACGAGCAGATTAGCTCAGCTTCATCATAAATGCTGAGCTATCGACGTTCACATGAGGAGCCAAAACCGTTCAGAATCTGGGGGATATGAACGTATCACAAGGCTTTTCAACAGCTTCGGCAGTGATTAGAGAGGTGCTTGGACAAATAAACTGTAATCTTATGCCTGATAGGACACACACGCTCACAAAAAACAAAACAAAAAAGGGTCTTCATTGTGTGTTGTGTAGCCCAATTAAAAGATGCTGTAGTTATTTTGGATGAATCCACCATTTAAAGACACTCTTTAACAGTGGGCAATCATCTAGAAAGAGTTTTCTTAATTTCAGTCAAGAATTGGGTCACCTACTGAAGTGTAAGGATCTTAGGCTTGGCTGACTATGCTTTTAGGGAAATTATTTTGTAACTGAACCTTTATATTTCCTTTAGTTTTATTTTATTTTAATAGCTATGTGATTTGGAATAGATTCAGATAATAGGCCTCTTCTTTTTTTCCTATTTCTCTGTACTTCCAGGCTGGGTGAGCCCTGGCCTGGACAGGTCAAACTGCCCATCACAACTTTTCAAAAAGCTCTTTACACTTACAATATTTGCCCACGAGATCAGGATGAGAGGGCCAGGAAAAAAAGAGGATGATGGAACATCTCCACCTTCTCTCTTTACACAGTCTCTTATTATTGTCAAAGTAAACGTACGAGTGACAGATTCTTGTACAGTGAAGTCGCCTACAAGTTGAAAAGATGAGCTGTCAAGATGATTTCTCCTCATCTGCATCGAGTTTAGCAGCTCGGGCCTGTTGCTTGGAAATCTCTAGCTAAACTTAAGATATGCATTTCAGTCAACTATTGCCTTTATGTAAGGGTTCGTGAATAGTGTGATGTTTGCTAATACGTTACTTAGAGACCCAAAATCTGCTTCTGACTTGAAACTTGCTTTGGATAAAAGTGTCTGCAGAAGCAGTGCAGAACACAAGATGTCACAGTTTGGAGTTTCTTGTGTTTGTTTTTTCTTCTTCTTGTACCCCAGTTATGGTGTTCCCTGTTTTCATGTTCTCACCCCCTCCAGTGGATTGCTTTTAGTTCACCACTTTGTTCTTATCTCCCCTCAATGTAAATAACCCAGGTTTTTATTTAGCTCGGTGTCAGATCAATGCGTGCACCCGAAGTGCTTCAGCACAAATTCCGCGAGTTATCTCTTCATGTTTTCGGTTTTATTCTAAAGTTTGCTTACGCCTGGAATCCGGCTTTGAAGCACTATGTGTTTACTCCAGCCACTAATTCATCAAAGTCTTCGGTTCCTGATCCGACTCCTCCCGGTGCTTTCTGCGTTTGGCTCTTCAGCTCTATTTCATGCTCCGCCTCACGACGCACGATTACAGGTTTGATTAAATGAGTACAATGTTGTGATCTCGTGAGCGGTCAGAATTACGCAGCCACTGCCATCTACACACAAGTCATACATCAAAAATCCACTTCTTCTCAGTTACTATGGATTAACATTTCTTACACACTGACAGAGCGACATTGAAAACTATCGTTCTTTTAACATTTCAGCAACAAAAAAAAAAAAGGTGGTTCAAGATCTCACCTGTTTTCTTTAACTTTGAGTTTCTTTAAAAGTCTTTTTGTTGCTTGTTAAAAAGCCTGGATGCTACAGGTTCAAAGCAATTCACCGAAACGCACCTGAACTGCAACCTCACTGCAGCACTTATGCTCACAAATGGAGGGAAACAGAGGCTCGCGCATCGATCGGGCCCGATGCCTGCTTTTATGAGATAGCCCTGCTGATAGAAAAGAAAAGGACCATTGGGGAAGCAGTGAGGTTAGGAGCCAAGGTGCACTACAGCATGCAGTAAGAAGAGAGTCAGAGGTGAGCAGTGGTTAGGCAGGTAGGAACAAGACAGCCTTTCTTCTTTTTTCAAAAAGGAAATAAAACAGACAGCAGGAAGAGGGAGAGACTTCTCTAACCTCACGGGGTCACATCTTTCCATGTGGGTAAACAGAGGGAAAAGACATTAACGACACAGACACATGAAAAATAGAAGAAAAAGACAACAGTACAAGACCCCCTCCTGTTAGGTCCCCACAGGGCGAGGAGGGAGAGGAAAGCCTCGGAAGCCTCAGAGTCCGCTTGATGAGGTCGCCCGCTGGGTGACCCCACAGTCCACCTGCAGCCAGACAGCCAGGGGAGAGAGCCACATGGACATAGACAGACAGACAGACTGAGTGACGCACTGAAACAAGAAAGAAGAGGTTTTTATCCAGGAAGAAGCACACAAGACAAAAAGACAAAGACAGAGAAGGGGGGGGGGGAAACACCAAAAGCCACTGGAGTGGAAGGCTGGCACAAGTAAAGGAGTCAAAGACAGAGAGCGGATGAATGAAACATGAAGTTGGCGTTTCATTTGGTTTCGTGTTGGAGATGAAGGGATGAGGCATGACAGGGGGTGAGAGGATGGATGAGAGGTGAAGGCACTTTTTTTCTAGGGGAAGGCTTTTCCCTCACAATTTTTTTTTTTTGTCTGGATATCCCGCCCCAATCCCCTTCAGAGAGCATCAACCAGCCATTTCAGGCTTTTTTCCAGGAAAAAGTTTCAAGCGCGGGGAACACAGACAAGTCAGCCCGGAGGATTTCGGGCGGAAAACACACTGAATATACATCAGACACATCCAGAGAAAGGCACATCGGAAGGAGCAGTTCCAGCATTTGCTTTAGAAATGCCTCCCAACCCTCCCTACCCTCCCACCCCCTCCGCCTAAAGGAACCATCCTCCCTCTGCACTCACCACAGGGCCCCGGGTGCTTGACGGAGATGAGGCTCCTGCTCACACACTCTGCTTTGCGGCGCAGACAGTCGTTGGAGTAGGTGCGTCCGTCCCTCCCGCACACGGGTTTGTAGGCGCCGTCGCAGTCGATGGGGTCACAGGAGCAGCGGGCGCTCAGCTGCTCCATCACGCACACGGCGTTGAACATACACTCCTCTTTGCACTCCTCTGTCAAGGAGAAAAACAAACAGAGTCTGTAGACGGTGCCGTGCGGATTCTCATTCTCACGCTGATCGAGCTAAACCGTTCAGTGACCCCTCGTGCCCCACGTGGGAGCACCTGCTCTCACTCATTTCATCCAGTTTTTTTTTTTGCTTTAGCTGTCAACCATCTGCGCCGACGCTGATAAGGCACGGCGGAACTATTTTTAACTGCAAGTCTGGGAGCGGCGTGACAGACTAATCACTGTGGAGGAAAGGACAGAAGAAGTACTCAGCAGGCGTAAAAAAAACCCAACATATTTAATGCTAGAAAAGTGTTGAATCGATTGTTCTGTCTGCTGCTTGGCTGGGGAAAAAAAACAAACACAGGGAAATAAATCAGTTTTTACATCCAGACAGTAATTACATGTCAGGGTGGACTGATGTCACTAGTGGTGCATGTAAAAGCCTTTCTTTCAACAGTAAAGGTCACACTTTTTATTAAAAAAAACACATCAAAGATACCTGAAATAAATGCAAGTTAACAGCAATTTTACAATAAATTTGACATACTAAGATTGTTAATGGTTGTGTATATCTGTTTTACTAACTGAATTTCAATATGAGACAGTGAAGAATATATTTCTGTTAAGGAAAGCATATTAGTTAATCCTTTTTTTAGGTTTTTTAAAAGTAATAGCTCAGAGCAAAAGGTAAACCTGGTGTATTAATATCTAAAAATGACACTAAATATAATCATGTTCAACCCTTTTTGACTGGGTTGCTTCCCTTAACTAATTAATAAAGTTTCTGAAAAAACTTCTACGTGAAAACTCAAACACTAATCACAAATTAAACTTTAGTTACTTTAAAGTCACAGTATTACGTTGGTAACAATTTGGCTCACTCAGCAGAAATCTACAGTAGGAATGAAGAAAACGAAAGAAATACTGGTAATGTGAAATGGCAAATTTGCCACTGAAGTGAGAAAATCCAATTCGAAGAAGGCCTCTGTTCTGGAGGCACTCGCTAAACTTTGAATTCATTTCATTCCTGATCAGTGGATCAAATTTGTATAGCAATTCAATTCCTTCTCCTCTTTTCTTTAAAAGCCTGTCATGCCACACTTAATTACATCGCTGCCGTATCTGAGTGAGAGGGCTGCGAGGATGTGCAATGTCACGGTTACAAGTCGAAATGGCCATTTTCATTAGTTACCAATTTGTAATTTGCTTTGGGGTATGATTTCATGGATCTCTCTTTCAAAATGAATTATTCCTTTATTTGAAAAAGGACCAGCACAATGGGAGGAGAAAAAAAAAAAAGTTCATCCGTTGGTTCACACTCAGAGATAATTAGAATGGGATTTATACAATATAAGGCCCTTGTCCCCGTCTATCAGTCTGTCAAACAGAGCAGAAAGCAGAACCTGAGGGTAAAATAAGTATCTATCAGCCTCCGTTGCTGACCGTACTAAGGGACACCCTGTGGTGATTCATTCTTGTCTTTGGGAGTGTCAAGAGGTCTTTGTACACGGATGAAGGTCTTCGCACATTGGATCTGTAAACCAACACAGCTGGGGCTTTGCGGAGCCCCATCGACAACACAGCGGGAAAATTGGATTTCTTCAGATGGCTATCAGACGTACAGTAAAACCTGACAGCACTTTGTTGACTAAGGTTTAAGCCCTGTGCTCTAATAGCGTAGATAACAGGCGGGAGGATTTTATCGGGCCGGACGCGGACACAGTTCGCACCCACAGACCTCAGAGTCATTTATCTCTGTATCATGAGGAGGAAAAAAAAAAGTTAAGGGGTTCGATTTTCGAACTGGTCCACATGGAGCTGTTCAATTCCTCAACTGAGAGTCTTACTTGACTTTTGCATACACGGCAGCGTGGTGTAGCCCTACGCACACGGAATGCTAACACATCAGGGGTGTATGATTGTATTTTGCTATCTGCTCAGTTTCTGTCAGGCCATTAATCTCGGACATGAAGTTTCCAGCCATTTGTTCTAGTTTTGGGACACCGAACTGCCTTGTGAGATTACAGAAAGTTGTGTTCTCCCCCTGACCACGGACACCGTTTCATCTGTCAACAGTTCATACAACATCTTCATCCATCAAGCTGTTCGATCCCTCATCTCAGTCTTTACATTTCAAATAAGAAACCATACATCCATCAATTTTCTGAACCACTTATTCCCAAACGGGATTGAGGAGGGACTGGAGCCTATCCCAGTAGTCAATGGGGGAGAGAAGGGATACACCCAGGATGGTCAAATAAGAAACAAGCCAGAAAAAAGATCTTATATGTGCACCTCTGTGTAATCCCAGTTATGAGGCCACCACATCTAACGCTAAACCAACTTAGCCTGCTCTTAGATCCCACACACACAGTAAATCCTTACCCAGCCATCTGCATTGTCCGGCGTGGATCTTCCTGAGCTTGATGCCCTTCTGAGTGGCTGTTGCCATCATGGCGCACTCGCTGGGATAAGTCTGTCCGTCGCTGGCGCACAAAGGCTCGTCATCTGGGGGGCACGACTCCGGCGGAGTGACCATGATGGGCTTGCTGGAGATAGTATCCACTCTGCATAGTACGTTCAGACTGTTTTCACTTTCCTTACATGGGTCTGTGGAAATGGGACATTCAAGAATACGTACGGAGTGTAATGTTAGACATGCAAAATAACTGGGAATAAATTTAAATTAACATTTAATATGTGTATGGTTGATTTAGTGATGGAAGAAAGAAAAACATTTCAAACATGACAGGAATGCAACCCGTCCCGGCTTTAACTGCCTTAAAACGGGCAACCATTCAACTCCTTCCAAGGAAAACTTCTTTCATCTTGGATGGGGCTTTGGTGTGCCAGCATTTAATTAGTGGTAAACAACTTTGTAGCGATAGCGTTTTTCGGGCCAAATCATCATCCGATTTGGGATGAACATCCACATATTTACCTGAACAGTTTTGCTGGAGAAGAGAAAAAGACAAAAGGAGAAAAAGGGAGGAGGAAGATACGCTTTACAGATGTTATCGTGGGAGCGGAGGCTGGGAGCAGAACAGAGCGGGACCTTGGATGTGAAGGGCAGACAAGGAAATAGATGAAGAGACGATCGGTTTGATTTGCCTTCTCACACCTCCCTCCTTCCAGGGGAGCGGGGCGGCTGGCACATTCAGCTGTATCAGCCCGTGATCATAATGGAATTGGTTCGTGCACGTGAGGGGGACAGGGGTGTTACTCCTGGAAACATGAGCTCAGGTTTTTATCCTGCTCGCCACGCTTCCACCATGAGGGAAGACAAAGGATTTAATGTGGCACCGTGACATATTAAATTACTGCCAAGCTGTGGCGAGTCATTCAAAACACACCAAGGATGAAGCGTCCAATCATCAGGAAAGCAGTATAAAGGAAGAGAAAGAGGGTGGAAAATACAAAATGTGGGGAAATGGTTTCCAAATACCACTGGCAGTGATACAAGGAGCGACAATGCTGGTGTATAAAAAGGGACAGAGAGGTTTGGCTGCAGTGAATTGGAAAGCAGGAGTGACCGCTGGCCAGGTCTCGAATTGATTTGCACCAGCACAATGCACAGGCTTGCAGAGACTTGCAAGTAAGTAAACAGAGGTTTTATCGTTATGCACGGCGGGTTCCCGCGTGACGCGGCGCCTCGTCCACCAACAAGACTATAATCAGAGAAAAAGACCATTACCTCCCATTAACTGAGAAGAACAGCTTCCAGGGTCCTCGCCTTCCTGAAGCTAAGCAGGCATAGTAATTACAAAAATACCGGCTTATTTGCTGCAAAAGCAGGTGGTTTAGATAAATCAACTACATTTGGAGCTTTCAGAAGGCTGTAGGAGGCTTATGAGAACAAGGTCAACTAGTCCCTTGAGCCTTGACCCCTTGTAAATGGTTACTGAGGCAACTTTGGCCTACACAGGCAGGATTCGGATGACCAATTTCCTGCCTGGGGATAAGCAAAACCATCTCCTTTTGCCTACCGACCTGCTTCGTTTCACGGAGGTTTTCTGCTGTGAAGAAACAGAGTTATTGTCCGCTGTTCTATCCTTCCATCTGGCTTGCTAAGAAAGAAAAGTTGAGTCTGTTGAGAGTAAACAACCCCTGCCAGATGATAACGAGGATGGGAAAGAAAGACAAAAAAAAAACAACACACGCACAAAAGAAAAAGACGGCTTAGAATGCCTACTTAGTGAAAACAACAATTCACACCACGGGAGTGCCTGTGTGAAGCAAAGCGGTCGGAAAGAAGGTGAGAATCAGCCGAGGTGCGGGGTGTGTGAGGGAGAAATGAAAGTCAGTGAAGGAAGAGGAGAAAGTTTTTGTCTCAAGCAAACATGCCTTTTCTGTTTCAGCCCTCCTTGCTTTAATCCTTTACATGACGATAATGGAAATCTAAGGTATTTTAACTCCTCAACCATAACAGCAAAGAAAAATGAAGCGAGATCTCACCGCAGGGCCCCTGGAATTGCTCTCGTATGTTCTTCTGGGTCTTGCAGGCATGCTGGTGCAGCTCACACTTGTTGCGGTAGTCCTTTCCATCGCTGCCGCACACCGTTTTATTGACTTTGCCCTCACAGCCGAGGGGGCACATGCACTTAGCGGACAGGCCGTCTGAGGACTGGACGCAGGTGCTGCCATAGGTGCAGTTCATCTCGGTGCAGGGGTCCTTCAGAGCTGCGAGCGGGGAGACAAGAATACAAGGTTTAGTCGAGAGCAAGAGGGGGAGTTTTGCATTAAAGAGCACAGCTCCATGCTGCTGTGCACTAGAGTGCATTATAAATGACCGGGGCACGTTATCTGTGTGGCCGCTGGTGGACTTTTAGCCACCCAAGCGCAGTTATTTGAAGAAGTGCTCGACACCCCTGGGTAACATACACCGCATGTCGCCCCCGTGCCACCATATTGCTTTCATTTAACAGAGCGGTGTCAGCTGGATTAGAAGCTTCTCTATTGATATGCTTCAGCGTGCATTGATCGCCGAAACCTCAAAGCGACCCCTCCGAACCTTTTCCAAAATTAGCCTGAGACGGCCCACCGCTTGTCACCGAGTGGGTCGTTCCAGGAAAAGGTGAAACATTTAATTTAGTCCGTGTTTGCCGTGAGTGGGGGCTTTTTCTTCGGCCTCGTATGCTCGACAAAAGGCCGCCGCGAGATTACAATCACTGTCATCTGACTGCATGATACATATTTATGACTGTCACAGACAAACATGCTCTCCCGTGAGGGAGAAGCCGAGCATTGGCAGGCTTCTCATTTCCTAAGCCTGCCATTTTTGTAATAAATATTTACCAATGTCTGGTATTGTTCCCCTTTTTGTAACAGTACATCCAGCGTAGATGAATTTGAATTAAAGCGTGGCTATATTGAATCACAGCTGGTGCAACTTGGATTGCATTTTGTTTTCGACCTGTCCTTATTTCGAAGGGAAGACAAATGCAAAATATCTGTCTTGACTTTCTTTGCCTGCCTGCAGATGGAATGCTGTTGCCTTGTTAATGGGAGCCTGCAATGTGTGCGGAGACACGTGTATTATGGATGTGTAAGGAGACAGGAGCTATGATCAAAGGATTCCCCCCACCTTGATTTCCCTCGTCTTCGTGACACATTTTTCCCTCTTTCCTTTTTTTTCACGTTCAGTCCCCTGTCAAGTTCTTTTGAGGTTCGGTGCCTTCGACTTGCTAATGAACCTTCTCTTTTTCATTTTCGTATTTGTGCTTTGCTGCAGCAAGAACTTTGAAACCGCCTCTAGACCTAATTTATAAGTAACTTGAAAATAAAGTGCTAAATTACAGTTCTAACAAGAAGAGACTGGTGCAAAATGACTGAAATCATGAGTGATTATTGGAAATCATAAGTCATTGTGAGCCACTGATGACGGCTTAATGGCACCCTGTGAGAACCAGACAGCCATTGTGATACTTTGTGTCTTGTCATGCGAACAATGAGACACTGATGATCTGTTGGACAAAGTGTTGCAGTAACAAGCTTGCACTATCTGCCAGAACCATGTTCAATCCGGGCATCAGAATATACACACAAATAATATACGAACTAGATACATACATAGTTAGTATATTATAATATATTAGCATATATAAGCAGGACACAGTGGAAATGCACAAAGTGACTGGGCTCCCAGGTTGGAAACAGCCTTTAAAGCCGTACTGCTGTGGTGGTTCTGCTAATGGGAACTGGAGGTGCATCCTGACAGGAAGCTGCGCCTTGTCTGAGCACAAAGGGTTTCCGTAAAAAAGGTGGTTGTTAGGGTGGAGGTGGCAGCCACGGCTTCAGAGGGAAAGGAAGAAGATGAGGGAGAGACTCGCCCAGCTTCCTGTGCTGCAAAAGTAGGGCCCGGTGTATTTTGTGGTTGTAAACAGTATCCTCTTCACACGTTTTTGATCCTATTGAACAGCCAAAGCTCTCTCTCTCTCTCCCCCCTCCCCTCCTCCACCCCACCTTCCTGTCCTCTGAGCAAAAGCAGGCATGCTGACAGGCTAAGAAGGGTAGTGGTGAAAGTAAAGGCCATGGGAGCAAGGTAATATAGGAAGGGGGGGCGGGTGGGGGGGGGCTCTTGATTTGAATGCTAAAAGGGGGCGATTTGGATAGGAAGTGCAGCCTCGATGGAGCGTTAGTGCAGATAAGCCTCCCTTCTCAGACTCAGACAAGCACGCAAATTGCCTGGTTGAATGTGATCGGTGTAACAAGCGAAAATGGAAAAAAGGGGGGAAAAAAAACATGCACACGACGGCAAACCTCAAGGAGTATATTTTCTCATTATTATCATTTGAAAGGTGGAAAGAAAGAGCAGGAAGCAGGGTTTTTTAAAAAGTAAGCAGAACAGTATCTGTTAAATTAGAAAGCCAATTAGATTTTTTTTTTAGTGACGCTCAGCAAGGATAGATAGATAGATAGATAGATAGATAGATAGATAGATAGATAGATAGATAGATAGATAGATAGATAGATAGGTGAAGTTATTTTCTATTTTGGGATGAAGCAGAACAAAGAAAAACATTTTCAATATTAAAATGGTGGAATGTTATTCAATTTTTTTCCCTCTCGTAGAGAAAACAGCTGAAAAAAACAGCAGCGTGACACTGACATTATGAATTGATCCTCAGCCAATCATCTCACCAGGAAAATCAACAACTTTGGCAGCCATCAAAAAACCCAGTTGACAAGCTTTTGTTTTTTTATTTCTAAGATTATGCTACTATTAGAAGCACTTTGGGCTCATTACTGCCGTTGCTGCGGATTTAACTGGGTCCTTTTCACAGAACAAAATGCTCCAGTTCTTTTAATTTCAAGCATGCAGCGTTTGAATGGACACGCCTCCCCACAATATCTGCCCACAGCAGGTTTCCTCCATTTGAATCAGACTCTTACTGTTGGCCATTTGAGCCTCAACTGTGTCTGGACTAACCGTGTGCCTAATTATGAAGAAACATGCCTTGCATATCACGTTTTGCAAACTAGCATGTGGGAACAAACAACTTGTGTTTTAATGCTGATAGATTGGTGACCATATCTAGGACAGAGGTCAGTCGGTGATGACCTGTCGGACCAGGAGGACTAGCCCTGTGCATGATTGCACAAAAGAGCATGACTGATAAGGCGAGAATAAAGTCGGAAAGTAAAAATATGAATACCAATTGAGGTTATTATGTAGATTTTATATTTATCTGTTAGTTCGTCCATTGAAATCCCTTTACAACACTCGCAGCTGGAATCGATGGAGTTATCGGACATGCTTCACACCTCTCTTATGTTTTTTCAGCTATATTAACATGCATTGCATGTTGAATAAATCCTTGTGAGCTAATTTCCTAACTGCAACAAAGAGAAGTGTGTAGTGTTTGGCAGAGATATGCTCCAATATAGTTGGCCCGGAATCAAAATTTAATTGGTGATTTTTGAGGTCTCTTATAGTACTAATATGACATCGGAGTGTTGGAAAGTACAGAATCTTAAGGAAAGTGGTGAAAAGTTAGAGGATGGGGATTACAGTGATCTCCCCCCCCCCCCCTCCTCCCTCCACCTGGCAGCCGGGGGAGTGGGAGCTCTGCTGTTTCTCTGATCCACTGTTTGGTGCGGCAGTGTATTAATGCTTCATTAGGGACAGGGAGCTGTCAGCGGCGTGCTGACTTCACCCGCTGGCCTGCCGCCACAACGGCGCCAACAATCAAGGTGTGTGCGTGCACGTGTGTGCGTGCACGCGCGGGTAAATCCACAAGTGAGTTTGTTCTGCGCTCCCTGTCGTGCTGATAGGGATATGGAAAGGAGCTAATCAAGCACAATGATGCAGTGTGTGTGTGTGTGTGTGTGTGTGTGTGTGTGTGTGTGTGTGTCGGGGGGGAAGGGGGCATGGCAGTGCGTGCTCTAATCAAGAACACTCCCCCCCCTGCGTTCATTTTCCGTCACCAGCGGGAGAAAACGGAGAGAAAAAAAGTGTTACGGTGTGAGAAATGTGGAGATAAAACTGCCGTAAAGCCTTTTTTTACTGTGTGAGAGACGTTCACAGACGATGAGGAAAAACAAAACAAAAACTGTAACGCGTTTCAAGGAAGAGTTTGGTAAATGATTTGCCTTCTTCCTTACCCAGAGTGAGGCATTATTTTAACCTTTGGAAAGAGCCCAGCAGTTTTGCCTCCAATCTTTATGCTTACTAAGGTTTGACTCTGTGTATTGATTCCTAATCAGAAGCAAATATTCAGATCTTGGGATGAATGTGCTGGCTCAACAAAAAATATGGTATCGTTGTCTGTCAAAATCCCAAATAGTTGAGTGAGTTTGAACTAATATGTAAATACTGATGCCTGAGGCGGCTTTAACACATTTCTAAAATGTTAAATCCCACCTGTCAGGAAGTCAGTGGGGGCAGAAAAGGCTCACGGTTTCTGAAATGCTGCACGCCGACCCCATCCCGGTAATAGGCCACCAGAAAATCATTGTGCATGTGTAAACATCTCATTCACAGGTGCTCTGCCAATAACGGCGGAGGGTTCAGAGGAGGCAGAGAGCAGTCGCGATGCTGGCGACCGCTCTGGTCTTTGAGTTTGATCCTTAACACCTTTCGGGGTAAAAAAGAAAAAGAAAAAAAAAAGGGTTGCTAAAGGATCTGAAGTGATTCTTCACTGATGGAAGCAACACCGAGGTCAAATGAGGCAATGCCGGTCAGGGAATCAGAAATGCCCCCAAAGAGCTGCAGCCCAATGTTTAACATATATATAGAGTGAAACACTTTAAATGACATGAATACTTTAAATCTTAAGTGGCAATTAAGGACCATAAGTGAAAAAGAATGTAAAAAAAAGGCAGGCAGCAGATGAAGAGGTCCTATTTATGTAGAAAGAGCGTAGTGTGTTGAAATGAGATAAGGAAAAGGGTCAGAGTGGGAGCGAGAAAAAGGCTGGAAAAATGGAGTGGTCAGAAAATAAACAAACAATAAAAAAAGAAAAAGAAATCCACAAAGTAAATATGGATGAGAAGAATATGCGGCCAGCTCCCCAAACAACATAATGAGAAGCAGGAGGCAAGCACCGAGGGGAGGTCAAAGGATTAACTGTCATACACACCTCTCCAACATGCTGTTTGGGCTTGCATGGCAGACTCACACACAGAAAAACACACATACTCGCACACACACACGAGCACACACACTTCCTTCACTTTCTGTACTGTGATGCCAATGGCAAGAAGAAGATTCTTTGTGTTTGATGTAGTTCTTCAAAGAGCTCCAGTGAACTGCAGCTGTTGCTCTCTCTTACATGCTTTCTTGTATTACCCCGGAGAATGGAAAATGAACCGCAAAAAAGCCAGTCAATGGCCACACTTACCAGTGAAGTAGCTGGGCAGGAGTGTACCGAATTTCTGTACATATTGTGAATAATAATCGTCCCCGGGCGACACAAAAAACACAGTTTTGAGCATTTGACCACGGATCAAGGGCTCCAGACGTTGGAAGTTGCTTGGAAAAAGCAATAATGTCGACCGGAGAAAGGAGCCGAAATGGATAAACTAAGAGCGACAGATGATTAAAAGCTATAGTGTTACTACACTAAGGTTTTTGCACCGGAGCTGTCATTTCCTCTGGCAGATGTCTCACGCTTGAAAGAGGCAGCAAAGCACAGGTGTGGTGCTGAAATGACTACACAGGCCCCATTTATTCTGCTGAATGACAGTATGAAGGCAGAAGAGGATTAAATCTTCTGCATGTGGCGTTTCTGACAAACACGGACAGACACGCATTCGTTTTTGCAGCTGCGCCGTTCCACAAAAAAACCCTTAAATTCATCCATTAATCATAGAGAATGGACACGACTTTAAAAACGCATTCCCGATGACTTACATGGTTATGCCATCTAATGTTTGGTTTCTCTAAGCATGACCAGAAACCCCACAATTTAAAATAACCTCATAAAACATACTTATTCTCATATCTTCTACCCATTTTTCCTTTTTTTTGTTGGATGCTTTGTCTTAACTTGTTGTTCCTTGCAAAAACATGATGGGAGGGCCACACCATGACCAGTAGTCTCTAATACTTTAACAATATCCAACCAGATGGCTGGTTGGACGATGAGAGAGAGATAATGAGTTAAGAAAA